CATACATGTTTATGTGGGTTAACTGGATGAAGTTTATACTACCTTTAGGTCATGCTACGATAGATAGAGGAATCAAGGACCTGATAGGAAGGTACAGGTACATAGTTAGGTTGATATAGGTTATATCCATATTGGAGGGCGTGTAGGCGTACTACTGTAAGTCCTACTCGTTCTCCCGGTGTAGATTAGGGGATGAGAGTGAACCCTAAGTTGACGTGTCAGAAGGGCTTGCTTTGTATGGAGGGATTTTGCGGGCCGGTGTAGTATCTTTTTTGAAAGCCTTGTTTTTGGAAAATCCCTCCATGTATATATATTTGTGTTATGATCTGACTGACTCTTTCTGTTCGATATTTTGGTACTTTATTTGGTCCCATTTTGAAATTTTATCATTTGTATCTTGTTATTATTTCTATATCTTGTACTTATATTGAAGTTTCTATGTTTCCTTCTGAACTATATATGTGTTGTTTAAAATTGATACTTAATATGGCTACAGCAATTTTTGGATTTGATACTCTAGCAGCAGCTGGCTGAGACTGACTGGAAGCACTTATTCTTCCAGTGACGGAACCTATTTTAGTGATTAGCAACTCGAAGGTGAAATATTGTTTTGGTAATTGTCTGAAATTCCGTTTTTGAATTAATATATAACCGTTCTTTCCCAGAATTATCGTTTTTGTACTTGGACTGGGCGAGACGCGTGTGAAATTACACCTTTCGGTTTCAGATCGGACTGCGAGAGTAAATATTTTTCCACAATACAGACCACTAAAAAAGAAATAAATCGTTAAAATGTAGTTTTCGAATTTAGGAGCACAGTATTGAAGAATAATGGGTTGTGATTTGTGTTCATGTGCACGAAGGAGAAGTTGAATTATGAAGCTGGAGGTTGCTACATCAAAATCTGAAGCTACGGAAAATGAGTGGATTTGTAAACCATCTAAATCCCAGTCAACAACCAAATTCCAAATCGAACTGGCATTCGCGGATTACGAAACTATGCCAAAACCATGAATTCTTTAATGACACCGTAAATCATGATAACCACAAAATATTTTGTGCTTATCAACGCACAAATGATCTGCAAAAGACAGATTTGTCTTGTTTACGATTCTTTATAAACCATCACTTACAATGGTAACTCAGACATAGACCACCAGTAATATTTCTGATCTAAATATATCTCTTGAAAACTATGATCAATTTCGATTTGATAGGTTACAAGTACGAGTTGGAGGATGCCTCAGATACGCCTCATGTGTATATATGTTTAATAAAATCTTATCCTTGGGACTTTGGGGACCCCGGACGAGAAATAATTTATATGTGCAGGTCATACACGAAAACATCTTCGAAGACATGCCTCCAGACTTCATAACCTTAATGACGCCTCCCCATTAGCTACGATGACAGAAACATATGTCGAGGGAGAGATAACACGTACAAAAAGGGGATTGTGCATGGGAAACGTGTCGCGGAACTAAATAATGAGTCTTCTGCACTTACGGAAATCCTTCAGAATAGATATAAACGGTCTAAAGTGAAATGAGGGAGCGTATTTATTCAGGACAGTCAAGTGGGCGAGGGTCCTAAACGTTTCACAGAGCTGTTTAGCGAACACTTTTGTGCCTCATTAACAAACGAGGATCAACTAAAGGAATTACAGCTGACCTCGATCCGTTCATATGAAATAGCCAGTGGATAGGTAAGTGTATAGAATATTTCTGGGGCGATTAGTACACTGAAACAGTTACATGATGTCTCTGCTAAAATGCTAAAAATTTGAGGCGATGATTTCTGTGATTTACTCCTTAAATTATATACTGCATCACTCTCTACAGCGTGTTACCCTAAAACGCGGAAGACTACATACATCACACTCGAAATATTAAGAGGCCCTAAAGATAATGTTGAAAATCGTCCACCCATAAATATGACGTCATTAGTTTTCAGGGTGACGGATACAGTATTAGGCCGGCAATAAGACCACACCTACTTGGTAACAATCTTATCTGAAGTTCCTAGTATGGGTTTCCAAGGTCCAGGTTATGTGATGCATACCTGCCAGACTATGTGAATGATTATGACGCTGAGAAAATATAACAAAATTGAATTCTTGGGAAGTTTCCTGAAAATTTAGCTCAGAAACATGCCGCATATACAAATTCCAGTTGACCGAACATCCTAGGGGAGTATTTATATTCAGATTTGCTGATAAAAAAACGTGAGCGGTCTAAAGCTGGGGAAAAGAATGACTTCTTGACAAGCTACAGTGTTAAAAGCGCCATGTCATTCCGACTATTAAATCTGTGTCTACAACGAATGCTGAAAATACCTATCCACAAAAATTACCTCAGTAGTATAGATAAGAACATCTTGACAAATGAGACTAAGCTCACACTCTTCATAGTGTGTATAAGGTCCTCACAAAAGGTATGGCTTACACTAAAAAAAATTTTCAAACCTACCGCTAACCGTAGGAGAGCCCAACATCACAGAAGAGGGAGATGTATCTGACCAGCATTCATGATGGTAGGGCCATAACCTCAATCTAACCATGTCTTAAGGGCATAACAATCTGTTTACTTACGGCTCCTTACGATGTCGTCGGATGTAACTAATCACTGATATTTATGTTACTTTTCCATGTCAACCATGTCTGCGAATTATGTTTGTCACCGTGCACTGGTTTCACTTCATACCAATAAATCCTAATACAAGCAGATTTGGACAATTATGGTGACAATGAGAATACTTAAGGCTTCTTGAGCAACAGCATTAAAAAGAAAAAGAATCAATGAAATGTCGCAAAGGCATCAAGTCACTGTGCCTTTATTATTATATTTTATAAATAAACATTATTTCTAAAAATCCAGTTCCTTTAAACTTCCTCTTTTCATAAGATTATTTGCCAGTGCGTAATCTTACTAATGACTTGTCTTCATTAAACTATATATGTGCAGGTATACAGTTAAGGTTCTAATACAGAAAAAGAAAGGTCTGAGTAGTCATACCTTTGTTTTATTCAAAAATATTGTCTGCTAGGTCATGGATCAGCTTTTAGCGAGAACATTTTCTGTTCCGCTCGTCCTCCCTTTCTCTTTATATCCCTTTCTCAGCACCTCATCATAATACTTGAGTATTAGTCTGGATAACTGCGAAAGACTTGGTTACTTTTACAAGGCGCCTGTAAATTTATTATCTGACAAATATCAACAGGAATATAATCGCACATCTACTTCATCGATTCCTGTTATCTGCAGACGTGGATATGCCTTGCATCAGTTCTTAACCAGCAGTGGTTTGTCGCATCACAAGCGTCGTCACTCGCGCAAACCATCGTATTGTACATAACGTAGTCTGAAGCATTATCTATTATTTTACGTGAAACATTTTAACCATCTGCAAGGGGCCAGTGCATCTTGTGAAATATTTACGTAACTGAACAACCTTTTACAGAAAGCATATTAATTTTACCAAGTTGTCTTACCTGTGAATTGGCATGCCTTTTGTAATTATTTGTTATTTGAGAATGCTTTCCACTTTTACTACACTAGGGCAAACCACACGGTCGTAAACAGAAATTTACACGCCCAGTAGCTACGGGAATGGTGGAGGTTAACAATAAATAATCACTGGCAAACAGTGAGAGACAGAATTCAGAATGCTATCCTACACAATGTACGTCATGTTGATCATACACCTGGCTTCAGAAGAATGTATGTTGAGTGAGGCAATGAACGCTTGATACAAATGAAAAGGTGAGCCTGTTACAAATGGAAAGTCTCGCTGAAGGATTCCGACCGTAGATTTTACATGGTCTTCAGAAACAGATGCAGTGACAAGGTTCAGAGCGATAGGAGACACTTGCAGACGAAGCTTGCTGTCAAAATGAAGGCAGATCCAAAATATTTCTTCAGGTTCATAACTAAAGGATAACCTTCGAAAGGAGGTGGCTGTACTCTGAAAGGTCTGAATGGCGAAGACCCTACCAATCTAGAGATGGCTGAAATCTTTAATGACAACTTCACCGACCAGCTAAAAGAGGTACATAAATCTTCTTAGTCCTACTCAGCTGATGGCCTAGGGAATATCCAACTCTGTCTTTGCCTAGCACTAAGAAAACTCAAATCCCTGGAGTGCGACAGTATCCGCTGTATAATCTCGGAACGGTGTGGAGAAGCTCTCAGTTCGCCAGTTCGTGACCTGTTCAGGCATTCACTGGAGTAACAGCAACTCCCAGCAGAATGAAAACAGGTCACTATCTCTCCAGTCATCAAAGAGGGAAATAGGGAAGATCTAGCCTTCCACAGACCAGTCGCATTACCACCAATACGATCAGATCAAATGGAAAATCTCGTAAGTAAGCGAATGATGAAGTACATAGACATGGACAAAATCCTTCATGAAGTCGAATAGGGGTTTCGGAAATGCAGGCCATGCTCATTCAATCATTTCATAGCGTGAGACAGCTGTTCCAATTCGGAATACTATCCAAGTAGACGTTACCACAGCTCCCTCAGTGGATAGCTTCAATAAGATACTTGATAAACAGTACTCGCTTAAGGATTATCATTTTCCTTTTGCCCTAGCTGTGTATGATAAATGTCTCTCAAACTGCTAGTAATCACCATTTTCACTTTCTTAAATTACTGACTTTTATTTCGCTTATTGTTTCTGTTTCCTCTTCTTCGCTTACACTTCTGTCCTCTGACACTATCTTTATTACCATTTAGAAAACTTATGTATTTATTTACGAAGTGCGGAAATTTTCCTCTTCTAATGAGTATTCGAACTTTCTCCTTGTTATTTTTCACACTTCAACTAGTTGGTATATTGTGTGGTAATCATAGCCTCTGGTATCCAGCAACCCTACAGCCCTGAGACAAACGCACCCAATCCAACCGCGAGACAAACATAAAAATCTGTCGACTAAGTAGAGTCAGTGCAGTTAAGTGGCTAGAATACTATCTGTTGGACATTGTTAAATACCTGGAGCTGTGCTGAAAAAAAGCGGGTGCAAAGAAATCAACTGGTTTTTATTTGTTCGTGAAAACGATATTGAAGACTGAGCCCGGCTTTTCGTAAATCTGCGGTACATGATGCTCAACGCTCAGAGTTCAGGTTACCAGATTATTTGAATCTGTAGCCTGCGTGATCACTGATTATTGTTTGATGCTATTCTTATAAAATGTAAGTTTATTTTATGCGCTTAATGATTTGTCAGCTCACATGTTGTGCTTTCTGGTTCACTGCATCCTCCAATGTTTCCCTAGTACGCAAGGTACCTCAAGGCTAAACGCGAACCGCTGCAGTAAAGCCGAAACAGAATTGGTTTTGAGACTATTATTCAGTTATTGGTTAGATCAATAAATGTAGTTAGGCAGTTGCTTCTAATTGGACGCCGTTTGTGCGGTGAACATATACACATCTCACCAAAGAATTGCTGGAATAATCCAGCTAACTCATCGATTTGCACACTAGTGATAGGTACATTTAGACTGAAGAATCATTTGGCTAGGATTCGGTGTTTCCTTACTAACCGGTACTGGGCATTAGAATAGTATTCTGCTCACATATTTTGACTTGCAGTTGTCTTCATTTGTAGGCCAACTGAAAAGACAATGTTATTTCAGGAGAAAGAAATACTGACCAGTATCCTAGTTAGTTTGTTAATCCTAATACAATTTTCCTAGTAGTGGGCCAATTTTTTATATCTCCTTATGCGTTAACTGTAGTAAGGTTTGTTGATCCTGTTAAAATACTTATCGATAATGATTTTGACACATTGTCATGAATATCAGAAGACTCATTTGACAGTTAGATAAACATGAATTGTTCCAGGTGAGATAAGCTTTAAACTCAATGTTTAATTATCTCAGAAACTGATTATTTATCTTCAACTCAACATGATGACGACCTTAGTTATCGGTGCACACACTTTTCGGTTTTATCCAATTAGACACCATTTGGAAACAGAAAGCTTATTGATATTGATACTACATACAACAGGGTCGTAGACTACAATTATAGTTGGCATGGTATCTTATCGCATCTTCAGCGGAGTAGATAAATTCTGTAGATCATTTTGAAGATTAAAGAAATGATTGTCAATACAAGTTAATCTTAAGAATAGCGTAAGCTTTAATCGAGGGGAGTAGGACTACCTACTCATGTTTACGATAGTATTTTGAACTGTTTTCAGTGTTGAAGTAAATTCGATAATCACCCTTTCGGACTGCAGCAGATTTACTCAACTGCTTCCATTAATGATTAAGTTGCTAGATCTCCAATGGAACTAGAAAGTTTGCAACTTATCTAATAACTAAAGCTTGTGAAGAGCGGGCTCGAAAAAACCAGACTGGTTTTCAACCTGTTCGTAGCTGTATACACCAGATATTTACATTACTACAAGTCCTAGAACATAGACACATTCCAGCGTCTGGCAATTGTTGTCTTCCTGGACTTTAAAGTGGGATTTGACACTGTAGATCGCGAGATTTTTTGGCAGTGTCTGTCATTGAAAGGTGTACCAAAGAAGTACGTTAATCTGATACAGGTTCTCTACTCGAACATCACTGGTCGAGTGAGAACTTATGACTAACTGTTATCGGAATTAATTAATTCAAGTGGTGTTTCGTCAGGGCTGTCCACTTTCTCAACTCTTGTTTAACTTTATCATTGACGTGCTTTTAGATACGGCACTTGCATCATCTGATTTTTCAGGAGTTTAACTTTTACCAGGAGATTCGCTCGTTGACTGAGAATATGCCGACGACATCGAATGTTTAAACAGCATGGAAGACCGAAAGAACTATTCAAGTTGCTGCAGAAATGAAAAGACACAATCTGGTGATACTTGGTGTCAGTGGAACACATTGAACGCAGTTCAGACAAGAAGGCTGGCTTCTGGCGATGAAGAAAAAAATGCCTCACGTACATAAGAAGTTTCACTGATGCTTTCCAAACAAGCATAAAAGGCACTGATAGGATGAGAATCTCATGGACCCAGGATCATCAAAGTATCCTTCAAAACAATGAAAGAGGGCATTACAATGAACGTCATCCAATGCTATGGACCTACCAGCAACTACAGTGAGGACGTAATTGTCGACTACCTGGTTGGGGTCCGCGAGATGATAATAATCGATGGTTAGAGACCTTGAATGACATGGCTCAAAATCGTTCGCAATGGCGCCAGTGCATTTATTCTCTGTGTTCTCTCAAATGCTAATCTTCTGGATTCTTCAACATCTCTAGTTTCGACTCTCTAAACTTTTCTCACTGAATCATACTTCTTGAATAGTATCTTCTAATCCTAACCTCTCCGATTATTTCTAATTCCCTTACTACCTCTTCTACTATTGGATTTGAATTGACGATTACTTCTCTGTGCTGATGTGGTATGGCAACATGAACTGATGTACTTATGTACAAAGTTCTACGTTGCATCTGACTGACTGACTGACTGACAGTGAGGACGTTAAAGATCGATTCTATGGGGCTGCAGTCAATCGCCGAGACATGCCCAACAAATGACTAGACCATTCTGATGGGAGAACTCCATGTCAAGGTTGGAATAGACAATACCAGATATGAAGACATCATGGGACGACCTGGACATGATGAGAGATTTGCAAACCTATGTACCTATGTTGTGTTCCCTCAAAATACAACCTGAATTCATTATCGTCTCTTTCTCTTTCTAAAGTTATCTCACTGAACTATACTTCTTGAATAATATCTTCGATCCCTAGTATTCTCCATTACCACTGATTCTTCTACTATCTCCACCACTATGGGATTTGAAGTGACAGTTGCGTCTCAATGCTAAGGGGTATGGCGACCTGAACGTATGTACTCATGTACGAAGTTCTACGTTGTATCTAACTGACTGACTCAACAAACTGGTCATCGGTGGCACAATATTCCCACACAAACGCATACACAAAGCTGCATGGATTTCATCGAGTCACACTACTCAGAACCAAACCGACCATATCTGCGTCAACAAAAAGTTCAGAAGGACCATGGAGAACGTGAGAACCAAGAGAGGAGCTAATATAGCCTCAGATCACCACTTGCTGGTCGCCAAAATAAAACTAAAACTCAAGAAAGACTGTACAACGGGGTGGACAACATCAAAAAAGTTTAATAGGTCTTTCTTCGGGATACAGTAAAACTCAACGAATTGAAGATAGCCCTAAGCAATAGGTTTCAGGGTTTTCACGATCTACTCAATGGAATGGAAATTACCATCGAGAACAATTGGAGAGGGATCAAGGAGGCAATCACTCCGTGTCAGGAGGATCTGGGCCACAAGAAGTACCATCACAAGGAATGGATCCCTGTTGGTACTCTTGATAAAATTGAAGAAAGTAGGAACAAGAGGGCAGCAATCAACCTTAGCCGAACAAGAGCAGAGAAAGCCAAGGCACAAGCTGAATACTCAAAAGCAAACAAGCAAGTGAAGAGGAGAATCAAACCGACAAACGTAAATATGTAGAAGACCTAGCAATGACAGCGGAAAAGGCTTCAAGAGAAAGAAAATTGAGACAATTGTACGCTACAACAAATAATCTCGCTGGAAACTGTCGTCAACTAGGACGACCAATGAAAAGCGAGGAAAGCAATGTAATCAGCAACGTCGAAGAACAGCGAAATAGGTGGGTAGAGCACTTTCAGGAACTCTTGAATCAACCAGCTCTACTGAACCCACCCAACATCGAAGCCGCATCCAGTGACCTCCCAATCTATGTTGGCCCAACAACTATTGATGGGATCAGTATGGCCATCAGGCAAATCAAGAGCGACAAAGCAGTAGGACCAGACAATATTCTAGCAGAGGCAGTGAATGCAGACGTTGCAGCAACCGCGAAAATATTCCACATTCTCTTCAAGAAGATTTGGGATGAGGAACAAGTACCATCAGGCTAGAAATAAGGATACCTCATCAAAATACCAAAGAAAGGAGATCTCAGCAAATGGGAAATTTGTTGAGGCATCACTCTCCTCGAAATATTAGGAAAAGTCTTCAACAGAGTTTTGTTAAACAGAATGAAGTACTCCGTAGACGCCCAACTTCGAGATCAACTGGCCGGATTTCGTAAGGATCGATTGTGTACTGACTAAATTGCTACATTACGGATCATTGTGGAACAGTCAATTGAATGGAACTGTTGTAACGGTTGCTTACGATATTTCCCGGCTAAATCTTATTGCTTAGTATTCTTGACACAAAGCACTGGACAAGTAACACAAATCAGAACACGGTTGAACAGGAAGGATTGTATTCCAAAATAGCAAGGATAAGAAGCTGGAGGTGATGGCGAAAGCCAAGGCAAAAAGGCTTGAAAGCGAAGAAGGCTAAGAAGGCTAGAAGGCTTGAAGACTTGAAGGCCAAGATAAATACAATGCTAGTCTATTTATAGCCTTTACATGAGAAAACTTCTGGAAGAAAATTCACGTGATCGACTGGGCTGGATTTGACCAATCAGCATGCAGCTAATAATACGAGAATTTTCTATCCTGTTCTCCAAGCTTCGATCAGGCGCTGATTGGATAGGAAATTAGCCAATCAGCGCGTAGTGACGTAATCACGCTTTAAATCCATCTATGTCCCACTAACAGGAACTCACCACTCTACATCAACTTCATCGACTACGAGAAAGCATTTGATAGTGTGGACAGGACAACACTATGGAAGCTTCTTCGACACTGCAGCGTGCCTGAGAGTATAGTTGACATCATATGGAATTCTTATGATGGATTAAACTTCGAAATCGTGTACAGAGGACAGCTTACAAACTCATTTGAGGTGAAGACCGGTGCCAGGCAAGGTTGTTTTATCTCACCCTTTCTCTTTCTCCTGGTGATGGATTGTATTATGAAGACGTCAATATCTGGAGGGAAGCACGGGATTCAGTGGACAACCAGGATGCAGCTGGACGGTCAGGACTTCGCAGATAATCTGGTTCCTTTGTCGCACACGCAACAGCAAATGCAAGAGAAAACGGTTAGCGTAGCAGCAGCCTCAACAGCAACCGGTCTCTACATACATAAAGAGAAAATCAATACTCTCCTATACAACCCAACCAAATCACTCTTGATGGAGATTCCTTGGAATTTTCAATACAAATGTCAAGACAGTTCTACTGTAATACAGCGGAAACTTGGAGAACTACGAAAGCATTCACCCAGAAGATTCAAATATTTATTAAGAATTGTCTACGCGAAATAATTCGGATCCGTTGGCCAGACACCATCAGCTAGAACGAACCAGATTTCATTGGAAAAAGAAATGAGGAAGAAGCGCGGAAAGCGGATAGGACTCACATCGTAGAAAGCACCCTGATTTGGAACCCTCAAGGTCAAAGGAAAAGAGGAAGGCCAAGGAACAGATTACGCCGAGAAATGGACACATACAGAAGTGTGGCTGAAGGCCTGTTGAGCTGATCCCTGAAGTGTTCTGCCCATTGATCCAGTCTCCTGGGTTGAGGATGATTAATATGTCCATCCTTTTCCGAAATAGTTTTGCTAATAGTAGGATTTCTACTACCGGTTTCCTTGATAAGTGTGGACAGTTATCGACTGTTAGAATTGCCGTTTCCCTTTTTATCTCTTGCTTTCTCTACCCACCACTGTTTGCGATCGTTGCGTAGGCCTCTTATCAGCCTAAGTTTAAGCTGGCTCCATTCACCACCATGTTCAGAGCCAGAAAGGATGTGTTTCCGAACATCTGTCAGTTCGGTGGATACTAATGAAATCCACTCTTTCTTCCTAACCTAATGGTTTTCCCTACTAGCAGATGTCACTGCTGTCTGTACAGCTTTCCGGATGTCATTCCAAACCGCCTTGGGGTGCGCATCACTCACATGGCTGCCTGTTTTTGTAGTTATTCCCGAAGTAGACTTGCGGCTATTTTATCGTCAGGTACAACTCAAAGAGGTTTCCTTGATGTGTCTTTCCTACGTCCAGTGAAACGCAGACATACGCGATCATACTAGAGCATAATCTGATTCTAAACAAGTACTCGAGAATGAGCATCAATCTTCTCTAAAGCCTCTCCATCAGTGGCTGATAGCAATGTGGTCTTTGTGGGTCCAGGGTTGAGTCGATTCTGAGGGTCTCCATGTCAAAAGATGTTTTTCCTATTGCTCAGTCATAGTATTTGCTAGAACTAGGTAGTTGTCTGAGCACAGTTGCAACAGACGGTCATCATTATCTGTTCCATGTGCCGTGAAACCATAAGATCCACTCAGGTGTCTCTCAATTTCGCTTAATCTGCTTACTTGGGCATTAAAGTCGCCAGCCACTATAACTGCATCAGAGTGCTTAACTTTTTAGAGGATCTTTTTGTAAAGTTCATCTATTACCTCATCTTAGCTGCAGTCAATGGAAGCACAGGCAGGGACAACGAAGAGTCAACGGCGAGTTTCCCTATCTTAACGAGTCCTTACTGTTCCGTCTAGTCGGACAGCGCATAAGCGGCTATCTGCTGGGATCCAGTCTAGGAGAGCTAGTTCTGCACTAGGATACAATGAAATACCTACACCAGCGAAGCCATGAGAAGCAGCAGTGGGGCTGCCAGATACACAAAGTGTAAATCGAGTCGGTTATCTTGACAAGGAGAAGTCAAATGAGTGATTTTACTCGGATCCTGTATGCGCGTTTCGGAAACGCAGCATATATCGATGACTTGAGATTCTAAAGTCGCTAGCTAAGGAAGCTTGTTGTCCTATTTGGTAGAAGGTTCGAACATTAAGAGCTTCCACATATATTTTGGCACAGAGTTTCAAGAGAGCAGGAATAACTTTTCATGTAATCGAATCGTTAGCATTGGAAGCGCGAGGTGACTGAGTAATGAAAGAAGGGTTAGTCGTGCAGGTAGAAGAGTTGTTGAGAGATATGTGAAGGGTTTCATTATGACCAACTCGGTCACGTGTGCTATTTTGTGTATGAGGGCTGCCCACATTGTGAAAAGGCATCGTAATAGGCATTTTGCAATGTCTCTGACTGAAAATAATGTGTCTAATGTTTTGTGTTTACACCTTACAAATTTCTTTGTCAATTCCTTAGAATTAGGTAACACGACTTTACCTTTTACGTTTTGTTCACTTTTTTATTTTTGTTTCGTTCATCCTAGTATGGTATACTATGTCTTGCTTGGGATACCTAAATTCTGTTAGTCTGTTTGCTCCTTTCATTAGTTTGTACAACAGAGATGTGCTTTTTGAGCGGTATCTACTTTGTGAGAACTTCCTTTAACCTTTTATATGCTTAACTTTAGTCGAAAACGCATATTTTCTCTTTTTCTGCTAAAGTGTAAGTGCCAAGTGTGATTTGGGGATTCTAATGGGAGTTGGACTCGCACCATGAGTGCCAATTTGTGTGTCAGCAAAACTTGCATAATCAGATTCATTTTGATTGTCAACAACATCTTTCAGACTATTTTCTGCATTCCGCTTTTTCGATCCTGGGTTGTTGTCAACTGCGGAATTGTTGGTTCATACTCTGTAATTATGATACTTGTATTGATATCTATCACTTGTGCATACATCAACACACAGTCCTGTTATATCAATAAAGAAATGTAGTTAAGTTTTAATTATTCTGATTATACGACCGAATTTAGTCTGATCTGTGTACACTTGACTATTGACCTCATGGATTCAAGATGATAGTGAGGTTATGGGCCACGGCTTTTGAGATAACTTATCATCACCGTTAGCAAATAATCACATTTTTGGATGTTATTGTTTATTGAATATTCAGTTTCTATCCAACCTTTTTGTTATTACTCAAAAATACATTAAAACCAGGTAAATTTGCTTTCATTTTGCTGCGGTAAGGTCAGCTTAATTATTATTGCTTACATAAAGATTTATAGTCTTTACAAATCTGTCCTATTTTATTGTTTTTCAGGTCAACTAATCAAATGGATGACTTAAAGGCGCAGCTTGATGCTGAACATGAGAAAGTGGCCAAGTTAAAAGCTCTTGTAATAAAAGAAAGAAAAGTTAACGCAGAAATTAAATCAAAACTGGAATACTTTGAATCGCTGCATAGCAGCACTCCCCAAGAAAATAGTAGAATTGTTGAAAAACTCGATAAATGTTGTTTTACTTCTGAATTTTCAAATGAACCTACATGTAGGAATGAAACACCAACATCGGAGTTGGACAATAACGCTGTATATAATAAATATAAAATGGACGGTATTACTGATAAAACGACGAGTAAACTTATCACTTCAATTCCTGTGTGTATAATCTCAGCCTCCTCTTCTTTTGAGACGTCATCCTCTAAGGATTCATTACAGAATTCGGACAAACATTTATATCCGACTTGTTTAGAAAAAACAACTGAAACACAAGTAGATGATTTAAATTATTTTACTAGAAAAGATTCACTATTATTGTTACAACAATTTAATACTGCATTACAATCACTTAAATTTGATAATAAAGATAATCTATCAAAAGATGAATTAAAATTAGTATTCACTGAATGTAATAGATTGTTAGAAGAGATTGATCTTTATTCCAATGATAGTTATCATAATATACCTTGTAATTATTCTTCAACGAAACGAGAAATTATACAATTAGACAATTATTGTCAAACTCTATCAACAGATTTAAATCAATATAATAATTACTCATTACAAAATTCTTCTATAAAACAACAAGATGAACAAGATTTGCACCATAATGAATTAAAACATGTTTATACAGATCTAATGTGTAATGATGAATTACATATTTTAGAAGAAAGAGTAAATGAATTAAAACATAGTGTTGAATATGCTGAATCTTCATTTAATCAACTTTCAGATAAACTTACTTCAGTTACTCATATCAATGAATTATATGATGCTAAATTATTACAACTACAAGAAACATGTGATGATAACTCATCAAATATGATACAATCATCTATTAAATTGAAAACTCTATTCTATGATTCGTTTTTATTACCATTAATTCAATACTATCAAGAAGTAAATAGTGATATACAATATGATTTAAATATGGATTACTTCATTTGTAATAATTTTCAAAATGATGCTGTCAGTACTACAGTTGCAAAGAATTTAAACAATTTCCTTAATGAATTAAAAAAGATTATAAAACATTATTATTATTATACATTCAATGATAAGTGTACGAGATTGTCCGATGCTTGCATTCTAACGGATTATAATGAATTGAATATTGAACAGGAAAGGCTATTGCTGGATAAATTGAAAAGTACCAAATCTGAATTAATGAATGCAAATGAAAAGATTCTAATCTCTGAAAATCTGATTACAGAATTAAAAAGTCAACTTCAGATTTCTGAAGAAAAATCACATCGTATGAAAAATCTCTTAGTTAAATTTAAATTAGATTCAGCTGAACAACAAAAGAAACTTTTGGAATTTCAAAGAACTGAGTGTATCGATGTTGAGAAGAAAGAATTAAATTGTCTTACTGAAAAATTATCTCATACTGAAAGAGAAAAGGAAGATTTAGAGTGTAGTTTGACAAAATTGCGTAGTGAATTAACTCAACAACATGTTTTATCGGAAAATCTACAAAATGAGAAACGTTTAGCATTGGATCGACTTCAAAAGTTACAAAGTGAATATACTGCATACAAAGTTAAGGTAAATAATAAAATCTTAATGATTTTGAAAACATTTTTTCTCCTAACTCTGCTATTTGGTATATAACTAGGATGCAGCGATTGATTCATTAAATATTGTGACCTGCTTAAAAGTAAAGGAAAGCGTTATAATACTGCTACATATAGCTATTCAGCCCTAGCGACATCCAATTCAAATATCCCAATACGACCCAAAATGCTATTTCCAAATCTCCTATATATCAGAACGCAACACCGTGGGATGGAGTTGTTTATTGGGTCGAGTACAGAAGAGAGGTAGGCAGGAAGAAACGGAATCGGAATCATGAAGTCTTACAGACAGTGAGTATTTATACATTTAGGTCGAATAGGAAAGAGCATCAAAGTCTGTGACATTGACAGTTTAGGACGACCGATAGGAAAGAACATTTGAAATAACATTGACAGTCCGGAAGACCAATCAGAGACAACATTGAAGTATTTGACTTCGACAGTTAAAACGACCATAATTTTGACCAATAGGATTATACTTCCAAAAATAGTACTCTTAGGATATTTGGTGAATATCGTAACAGAAAGAAATCTCGACCTTTCGACGATTATTTTGTATTCCTCTTCAGCTTTTTTTCTTCGCACATAACTCCTCATTCATCAACCATTTTAGCAGGAATCAAGATAGATGCTTTGAATTGCAGTGTACTATCTTGGACTAAATCAATTAGTATCGTGATGATTCCTTACATGTTAAAAATGTACTTTCATTTCATTTCATAATCAAACGACTATTTCGTATCATATTAACCTAATACTGATAACAAGAAGAGCAGAACTATTAGTCACAGAAGAATAGAATGTTTAAACTTATTCAACATGACTAAAACAGCGCATTGTGGCTTAGTAGTAGTAGTAGATGAAAGCCTTAGAAGGGGAAGAAACTAAACAAATACTTTTTGTATGTTTAAATTTGGTAGGAGAACGGTAATTATTATTGTTTCTGTTATGCTTATTAAGTGGAGAATCATAAAATGTAGCAGGTCAGTAATGAGTGAACACAAAGGAAAGTAAATAGTTTACTCTCTTAATTTACGAATAGCCAAGGTTTCCATAAACCTCAGAATTCATCCTTCAACGTTTCTATATTATTATCCATATTACTCATCAGCACGTATAAGCTGATCAAGTAGTAAATGTCTGACATATTGTATAAGATTTTTTAGATGAGAATTGTTTTGACGAACATTCAAAATAGCGCTTAGTGTGTAGCAATAATTAAAAAAACTTATTTAAATGAATTAACATATATATCCACGATATAGTAATTCATTCAAATGATCGTTTTAAACGAAAGATTTCTTTTCATTTCTTCAAATTTTTATTTACAATCTAAGGCTCAACATGCTTTGAGTAACGCTCGCACTCTAGCCAATGATGTAAACACAAATACCAGTGATAATCAGAACTTGGAAAGAGTAAATCCTGACCATGTCGATAGTGAAAATACATCATTTTACTATTCAAATGAATTAGAATCTGTAAAACAAAATCTTCTTGACGTGCAAAATCGTATGAAAGAAACTGAATTGCACGCGTCTTTAGCGCGATCCGAATGCGATATGTTAAAGAAAGAATTGATCGAAGTTAAAACAAGGTAAATACATTTTAATTATTTACAAATACATATTGATTGAACAAATAAACCTTAATTAATCAATGAAATTAGATTAGCATTAAAGAGTAGGTTAACATTATATTTTTTATAACTCAGTAATCAGTCGTTATAAATATCTTCATCTCATAGCGTGCAAATTGCGACCCGAATACTTCAGCAGTAACGTTTCTCATTGTGAAACTAGGTAATCTTACAATGAGTATTAGTTCACTTAAAAATGTAGATACATCTTGCCTATAACTGCTAACTAACTTGAAACTAAGGTATACGGCTTCCTGGCAATTATCTCTAGCTACTGAACACTCAGGTGTCAGTAGTTAGTTTGTCATCATTCACATAAAGCTTAACATGAATGTTTGTTAGCCTTATTTGTCATATTGGACCCTTTCAAAGAAATGAAATTAACACGATTAACACAACTGTAGTATCAATAATAGGGTATAGGAATATTTATTTAGAATATGCTCCAAAAAGAGGGTATGTATGGAATTCAGGATCTACAAGAGGATAAAAAGGGAATTTATCTGTCCCATATTCCATAATACTTCACACTGTATCAATTCAACTTAATCAGTCAGTGACCATGTCAAGATCGATTGAATGAGGTCAGCCAACACCACTTATTAAACAAGCATAACACTGGTTAGTTATCGATCAATATAAATTACATAATTCAGCTTCTTGAATCGTTGTCGTTCTTTTTCCTCACATAATTTATTTTCTCAAATATTTGTAATTCAGTGGGTTTTTTTTATATATCACAAACCGACTTAAGTTTGAAATTCATCGAGTATCAAGAAGCATTTGACATTTGTTTGTCTCTAATTTCATGTCTTATTTTATAGTGAAGCAAGACTATCACTCATCTGGAATTAGATATACCACGAAATTCATTGTAAAAATATCTTAAGGAAAGTACTTTCAAAGATCTGCAGGTGTATATTAACAATGCAAGCATGTTCGGGATGCGGTTTTCCCCCTCAAAATGCAAAATGTTGCTTCATGATTGGGTTTCATTGGCACCTGAACTAGTGATAGGGAGTGAAGTAGTCGAATGTGTAGACCGCTTCACTTATCTTGGGAGTCTCATCAGTGCTGATGGCCTGGTGACTGACGAAATCTCAGCTCAGACACAGAAGGCTCGATTGGCTTTTGCCAACCTGCGTCACTTTATGGCGTAGGCGAGATATCCGTTTGCTAACCAAAGGACGAGTGTACTGTGCAGTGGTTCTCTCCGTCTTACTTTATGGCTGTGAAACATGGCTGGTGAGAGTAGAAGATATTCGTAGGTTACTGGTTTTCGATCATAGGTGTCTTCGAAGCATTGCTCGTATATCGTGGGACACCCGAGTGAGCAACGCTGTTATTAGGAATCGGGTGCTAGGTAACAATGGCAGATCAATAGACGCAGTAGTGACACCTCATCAGTTGAGGCTGTTGGGACATGTGTTACGCATGGCTAACCACCGACTGCCTCGTCGAGCTTTGTTTTGTAGTGTAGGAATAGGTTGGAAGAAAGTTAGGGGCGGCCAAATCGAAACATGTCAGAAATCCATGAAGTCATTGACGAGTGGACTGAGCCATGTCGGTAATTGTCGACTACCTGGTTGAGGTCCGCGAAATGATAATGATCTATGGTTAGAGACCTTGAATGACTAGGCTGAAAATCGTTCGCGATGGCGCCGGTGCATTTATTCTTTGTGTTCTCTCAAATGCTAATCTTCTGGATTCTTCAACACTTCTAGTTTTGACTTTCTAAACTTTTCTCACTGAATCATACTTCTTGAATAATATCTTCTAATCCTAACCTCTCTGATTACTTCTAATACCTTTACTACCTCTTCTACTATTGGATTTGGATTGACAATTATATCTCTGTGCTGATGTGGTATGGTGACATGAACTGATGTACTTACGTACGAAGTTCTACGTTGCATCTGACTGACTGACTGACACCAATTGTGATGTAACTTCATTTTCAAGTTACATGTATCAGTAGTTCGTTCGTCAGACTTATCATCAAGATAGGTTAGGAAATGATCAGTTACGAAGTAAAG